TGTCTGAGTACTCAGACAAGATATAAGTCCTTAGTCTGTTTTTTCGGATGGGAAAAAATGCTCTGTCTGTAAAATCATATGAGCACTATTAGTTGGTCTGAAAAATCATACGAACTTAAAAAATCGTGTCTGATTTTCAGACCATTAGAAAAACTTTGTCTGATAACCAGAGCCCTGGTCCATAGCCAGATTCGCGCCCCGGCGGCGTGTTGATATGATATGATGCTCGTCATTGGTGGGAGGATGTGCAAGGTGGCTGGGTAGTTTGCGGGAGTTGCATATCTCAATTTATATGGCTGTGTCTGATTCGCCCACTACTTTGATGCGGTAAAGGAGGGGAGAGAGCCCTCTTTGGATTACCCCAGATGTCGATCATAACATGCCTCCCCAATTTTTACACTCCTCGCTAGGTCAACGAGGTTGGGCAGATCCATTCCGATGGTGTAATCACGTGTGATGTGAACCCCCTTCTTGAAGGCTGACAAAGCTCGGTCGGCACGACACAGGGGTTCTTTCTAGAGAAAAAATGGATAAAAAATCGTGCGCCCAGGTTCGGACAACTTACGAGCCTGAAAAAATCACTGAGCCATGATTTTTTTTTTTTTTTTTTTTTTTTTTTTTTTTTTTTTTTTTTTTTAGTGAAAGCTTACACAATACTGTACAAGCAAAACACTTTAGTCGTAACTGATGAACTGGGATCAGGCTGGCGGAATTTCGCCTGGCCCTCCCCACAGCTTTACGGTGGCTTCACGAAAGTTCTCGGGTTCGACCAGATGGACTGAAAACTACCTTGCTTCAGGCCCACCGCCTCATTGACGCATATCCGCCGCATGACACGTGCCTCATCCTCCGCCAAGTTCCACCTCGCCTTATCCTTCCTTGCCTGCCTGCTCGGCTTGCCGCAGTAGATTCTCGCGTGCTTGTTGAACTCTACATTGATCCTCCGGAGCACCTTCCGTGCCTGAAATTTCTTCACCTTGCGAAGCGACACCTCACACCTTCCCAGCCACACCTGGTGCATCGCCACTGCCACCATGGTAGCTTCGGGAAAACCAGATTTCGTCCCATCCTCCCCGAAAACGAAGTCTGCCAGCCTGTCCACCTGCCTCGTTGGCTGCATCATGCTGAGCGCCGATTTGACAGCTCTAGCCACTGGTGCCACACTCCTGCATTCAAGCAAGCAGTGTTCCAACGTCTCCACCTGACCACAGTTCGGGCATGCCGCCCCACTTTTCACGAACGGAACCCTCTCCCCCACCTGCAGGTTGAGATTGTGCACGCGGAGGAGCACATCTCTCGCTCTGGCCGGAACCACCAAAGAGTCCCGTATCTTCCTGCTTCTCTCCCAGTCAACTTTCCTGCCCGCTCGAGCCTCCCAGCTCAACCTTTTCACTTCCACCGCCTCTACCCCCTTGCACGGCTCCCTGAGTTCCCTCACCGGGGCCACCATCTCTTCTCTGAATAGCGTCGAGTTAAGCATCCGCACCCTTGGATCTCCAACTTCTCGTACCGCCCGTTCACTCGACAGCTTCACCGGTACCACACTGTCGCAGCCAAGCACTATCTTCACATCCCATGCCGTGCGCTCTCCTCTACCGCTGAGCCCCCGAAGCTCCACCTTCCTGCCCAGCTTGCTGCAGATTTCCCAGAGACACCTCTGCCCACTTGGGAGTCTGGTGCTTACCATCGATGATTCAGCTGCAATCTCCTCTGCCGTCAGAGGCGCCAGTGCCCACTGTCGCCACCGCTCCGGTGCCTCATTAAATGCCTTTAGTGCCATTTCCGCCTCTTTTCCCCCCCCCAGCTCCCTAGCCAACAACACCTCCGGCTTAATCGTCCGCGTCCCATCCCATTTCCTCAGCACCATGTCGCACATTCGCCACGTTCTTAACTTCTCCGTGCCCTTCTGTCCACCAAACGGGGCGTTACCGCGATGAATAATGCTTTTGTTGTAGCACATAAACTCCCCTTCTGCCTCCCACCTGGACGCCACCTCTGGTACTGCCACCACCGTTGATTTCAGGATTGTTTTACACAGCCTCGCCCACCTCCGGCTTTTGAACAGGCCCCCTTTCAGCACCGCCTTGTGCGCATACAGCGTCGCCCATCCAAGAGGTAGGCCCGCCGCTTTCTCCGACAGGCCCCGTCTCAGCGAACACTCCTGCTTCAGCGCCAGTCCCGCGCACCTTAAAGCCACACTGTCGATCCTCCCTCTCGGGTCTAACACCCCCAATCCCCCTTGCTCTCTTGGCGTGTATATCAGGTCCCCACTCCAGAGTCTGAAGTGCCGCTCCGTGTCTGCGTGATTTCCAGACACAAAAATTTCAACCAGCTTCTCTACCCTTCGCCACAGCAGGTCGTCCTGCGGGTAGACCTGCGCCTGGAAAAGGAAGATCGGCAGAACGTAACTGTTGATGATGGTCACTCGCGCTCCAGTCGTAAGATATTTGGTGCTCCACTTGCTCAACTCTCCTGCTGCCCTGTCAAAGGCTTTGTCCCACGTTGCCTCTGCGTCACCCCCAGGAGATATCCATACCCCCAGCAGCCTTTCAACTTCATTTGCCCCCACCCACTTGTACTCCGTACCTTGCGGCGCCTGTAACCCCACATTCCTCCCCAACGGCAGGACCGCAGACTTCCCCTTGTTCACCCTCAGCCCTGACACCTCCGCATACTCTTGCAACAGCACTCCCGCATCCTTCAGCTGCTGCTCTCCTTCCAGCAACAAGGTCGTGTCATCTGCATAACCCACATACGACAGCCTGTCACAACTGCCTTCTCCGATTCCCAGTCCCCTCTTCTCCGCAAGCCGGCTCAGCGGTTCTACCGCACACAAGAAAAGGTACGGCGCTAGTGGACAACCCTGCCGCACCCCTTTCTTCATCGTGATTTGCTCCCCTATCCACCCGTTGACGCATAGCCTTGTGTGAACGTCACTGTGCAGGGCTTCTATCCACCTTATGAACTTTGGCGGGAACCCGAGCTTGGCGACCGTCTCAAACATGAAACCCCTGCGCACTGAGTCGTATGCCTTCTCAAAGTCAATCAAAAGTAAGTACCAGTCGCTGTTTTCATTCCGCCCCGCCTCTATCATATCCGCCACCATCGATACTGCGTCCGATAACCTTCTACCAGGGAGGAAACCGTACTGCTCCTTTGAGATAACTTGGCCCAAAACCGCCTTCATCCTTGTCGCCACCACCTTCGCCAGGAGCTTGTACACCCCTGAAAGCAGCGTAATCGGTCTGTAATTCTTAATATCCGTCTCCGCCCCCTTCTTGTACAGCAGAAACGTGACCGCCTCGTTTGCCACATCAGGCAACTTCCCTGACGCGGCGAACTCCCCGATCATCTTCATCACCGGTTCACGCAGCAGCTCCTAGTGCCGCTGGAACAACTCCTTAGGTAACCCGTCTCGTCCCGGCGACTTGTCATTGGCCAACTCTTTGAGCGCCTGCTTAACCTCCTGTTCCGACCAATCCCTCACCAGGCCCTCAGCAGCCACCGCGTCCAACGTTTTCCTCGGCACCCAGTCCAACACTGGCTTGGCTCCGCTTGCCGGCGCGTCATCAAAGACCTCCATGAAATGACTCGTCGCCACATCCAATATCTCTCGTGCCTCCGTGTGGCTGACTCCATTCCTCACCAGCTCTTTAATCCCCGTTCTCGCCTTCCTGCTTTTGACCAACGCCGTCAGGAAACTCGTTGGTGCCTCCCCTTCCAGCTGCACCTTAAGTCCGGTCCTTAACTGCAAAAAATTCCTCCTCCCGTCCCAATATCTTTGCAGCATCGCCTCCCGGCTGGACAACAGCGCCTGCGCCTCATCATCGTAAGGATCAGCCATCGCCTGATGTTGTAGCCGTTCCACTTGCTCCTCCAGAGTACGCCTCGTAAACTTCACTCGCCTCCTCTCCTCTTTATCATATTTCCTCAGTTGCGCAGTCAGGCTCCTCGTTAGCCTGTCAAAGTCTCCGCTGCCTCCTTCACGATGCTTCCGAACTACTTCCGCGATCGCCTTCGCCACCCCTGGACGCTTCAGCATCCTCGCCGGGAAACGCCATAGCCCTGGTCCTGACTCGCGCGGGCCCCTCCACCCGAGTCTTAGCCTCACCGCAAATTTATGATCAGTGATCCCTGTCGGTATCTTCTTGTGCTTCACCCCCGCCACCAGGTGCAGCATGGACTGAGAGACCAGCACCCTATCTATCCTCGAACTGACTCTCGCTGACTTGCAGAAAAACGTGAACTGCCTCTCATCCGGAAACAGCTCCCGAAACGCGTCCTTTGCGTGGAAATCCTCCAACATTTGCATCATACGGTAGTTATCACATGTCACCCCCTGTCTGTTTGATTTATCCAGTATGGGATCCTCAATCATGTTGAAATCCCCCGCGACCACAAGATCCTCTCCCCTTTGCAGGCTATCCGTGACATCCTTGAAGGCAGTCCCTAAGAAGCTCCCTCTCGGTGGCGGCTGCGCAGGGAAATACACCGCCAACACCCGCAGCACCCTCGAACCCCATCGTAGCCGCGCATGCAACAGTCTCCCCGAAAAGTGCCGCTGTACGTCTTCTATCTGCACTCCATCTTTGAAGCTTAGGATGGCCAGCCCACCCGCTCTGGTAGGTGCTGCCACCGCAACCATGCTGCTGGGTCGCAAATCAGACCAGAAGTTATGATCTTCCGCTATTCTAGTATCCGCCATTACCACTATGTCCGCTGATGTCCTTATCCATCGCTTTACTGCTTGCTGCTTCCCTAGGCTTCCCAGGCCGTTGACATTCAGGGACATGATTGTTAGCCGGTTGTTGTTATCCATTATTCAACCTCTGTCGTTGCCCCCACGCATCCACAGGGCGGTGTTACATCAGCTCTCGGTGGTACATTACTCCCATTGATACAGTACATGTTGCAACTCCTCCTATGCCTAACTCCACGCTGTGCTTCATCCCCTACGCAGCCAACAGACACACCCTCCACCACAGGGTCTCTCCTCCCTGTCACACTCCGAACTCCTTCTTCGCCGCGTTCAGGTTGACCCCTGCCTTGGAAAGACGTGTAGCCAAGCCTGACGCCAGGCCATCGCTGTGCCGCTGAGAAATCACATGTTCCGCAGCTTGCGCGAACGACACCCCATTCGCCTTCTCGCAGTTCTCCTGGACGCAGATCCACTCCTCGCGATTCCCCCCGGTTGGGATCAACACGACGGCAGGGACCTTCAGAATGAGCCTGGTCAGATCTGTGATCCTGACTGAGGCGGCTGCGCGTAGTCGATACACCCACAACATTAGCGCCGCAACAACGTGGAGACAGCAAGCAAGAAAACGACAGATAAGTCAAAACCACACCCCCTCCATTACCATTGATCCCATGAACCCGTCCCAGCGACAGGCTCCAGTTGCCGATGTTGTTCTGTCTGTCAGACACGTACTCGTCGTGGTACCTCGTCATATGATACCCCGAGCAGTAGACACAGTTCAGCGACGGGTAGTGCACGAGCAGCTGCTTATCATGAGAGGTTGGGTCTTCAATCATATGACGCCAGCGATACTTGTCCCCCGCATGCTGTTTAACCAGCCCTTTGACCTTGTCGGTGTCCATCCCTGTAACAGGATTAACCACACGGTGGAAGCAGCTTCCTTCCTTGAAAGCCGAACGGCCACGTTTTTCCAGCTTCACCGTCACCAGCATATCACATAGCATTTCGGGTGTAATCACCGCATCCACCCCCTTGAACAGAACCTCAACCAGCAGCGGATCAGCCGCACGCGCCTTGACGTAGGCCGGATCCACCGGGTGCTGCCAGTCCAAGTTAATCCGCTTCCCGTCAACACAGGTATGCACAATCCCGTGCTTCCAGACAAAATTAGCGTCACGAGCCCGATCAAAGGTAACCTGCAGCCTCCAGTACTGTTTCTTGTTCAGGAACACCGCCGTCAGCTCCTGAAACTTCGTCGTCGATTGTATCTCCATGTGCAGGTCTTTCTTCCATCCATTGAAGAGCGCACAAAGCGTCGCCTGCACACGCGTGGTCTCCGGCTTGAAGGCAATCGGGATCAGAAGGACGATAGCGAAACGAATCCTCTGCGCGACTTCGCTCTTCGCCTGCGCGTCGTAGCGTTCCTCTGGATCATCACTGAGGTAACCGTCGTCCTCGTCGTCGTCAGCACCCTTTGCGGAAATGTTTGCCGTCACATCCTTCTCCTCTTGCTGAGTGTCATTAGAAACACCGCTGGCAGCATCAGCCTTAGCACCATTGTCCTCTGTCACTTGCTTGCCATCACGGCTAGCACTGATCAAGTCACGAGCCGCCTCCTTTACTTCGTGTGACGATCCTGCAGGCTGGAGAGCTTCCTTGTCTGCTTCCGTGAACAGGTCTGCCGTACATTTGACAGCCGAAGTGGCTGAAGGATCAACGACCACCGGCACCTCCTTGAGCTTGTCCAGAGGAACACCAGCAGCATTATCAGTGACGCGGACTCCCCCGTTCCTGGTCGTCATCCTGGACATTGTGTGCTGATGAAACAGCTTGAAACGAAAACCTCCGTGAGGTATAATCCTTTGCCTGAGCATAGCACATGCACCATTGTTAGCATTATTTGTAGGCTTGAACTTGAAACACCTTGAACACGATAGCCTTGAGAACAGTCTGCTTCCGTAATCTGGAAGTCCATAGGCGACCAATGAAGGCTGAGACCAGAGTCCAGTCTGGCTTCCTTGTTGATGAGTGGAATGACAAGTGGAGCTCCTAGATAATAACGCGTTGAGCAGCCTTGGAGAGTCTCGTGGAACCTTGAGGTTAGTAGCTGACATGGAAACAGAATCCCATAATGCTATTGATACAATGTCCGTCAGTTGGACATGAGAAGTGTACCAGTAGCTTCGTAGTGAAGAGGCGATTCCGATTCTATGTTCAATGTTACCAACTGAAACATGGCCTTCACGAACGAGCTCTTTAAAGCCATCTGGCGGAATCCATGGCGGAGCTGTCATTGTCATTCGAAGTATTGTTGGTCAAAATTGGTACACTGAGCCATGATGTTGGCTTATCGCTAAATGTTCCCGAAATTAAGTTAGTCAAACTATGAATAAAACTACATAATTCTGCCAGTACAGTGTTGGATACAGCCTATAGCTATCTGTAACCCAGTTCGCCAAAGCATTGAAAAAATCGCCTGTTCGTACAGCGTGTTTTTTCTTCGTTACCACCTGATCTGGTTCACGAACAATTGTCTTCAAGCCGACGTGCTTTCAACCCTCTCGTGCACGTAAGAAAACCTGCCACATAGGCAGCAAAAGAGGGGAAAATATGCCACACGTAACGAACATGGGACCCGATAACGTGAATGGTACCAAAAAAAACGTGTACGGTCACTGTATCGGGTTTCCTGACGGGTCTGGTAAGTGGGGTCACGGATTCAGTCACTAACAACAGGTAAAAAATCACGCGAATGGTCACACATGTAACTCCCGCCAAAAAATCTTGAAACTCTACAATATTCCCCGCTTGCGTCCAACCAATCAGCTAACTTCTGGAAAAACTAAACCCAATCGGAATAGAATGCGGTTTGGGAACGGATCAACCCTAAACACCTGGCGAATTGTGTTCAGGGTTGATTCATCCGAATAATGCATCCAGGTTCGTTTTGGGTATTATCTTTTTTGGGCGGGAGTTTCATCTGTGACCATTCGCGTTATTTTTTCCCAGTTGATTGTGACTGATTCCGTGAAACGTTTTATCAAACACGTGAGAACACCCTTTCCAGTGACCGTACCCGTTATTTATTTACCAAACAAATTATCGAGACCCTTGTTGATTACGTGTGGCATATTTTCCCGCAAAAGAGTGAGTGCCACGCTGCCAACCAGTGGTCATGACGTGTCTAGCAAGTCGCGAGATTCTCACCCAGCAGCAGCAAGGAGATGCGATGCGAGCTACCTGCGTTGCGTACGCATTACTTTCGTTGCTGAGTGCTCCCCCCGACGCTGTCGGACCAGGGGCTACGCTAGTCACTCGCTCCGAATTTGCATATCACATTTCATTCCCCAATTCAGTCGCCTGGTTGTGCGTAGCCAATCACAAGGCTCCCCCTCACACCCTCTCGCATGTGCGTGCGACTCGGACCCAAGCAGCTGCAGGGAAAGAGCCTTTCGTCCTCGCCCCAAATCCCGAATCCTCTCCTCCCAGTGCCCAGACCAACCCGTCCGATTTCAGATATATACTCACCTAGCTCATTTCTCAACTCAAAATTCAGAAAGTTTCTGACCAAACGCACCGATCCATCAGTAGTTAAAGCTGCGATCTACATACTTCGAGCGGGGGGGTCTGGTTTATCACTTGAAAACCAGGTGACCAGGTTTTTCACTCGGCCCCTTAGCCTGCAAATAGAACGGTTGAGGGGGGTGGAGAGAGGGGGGTGGGGGTCCCTTTCCCGATATCGAACTCCCCAAGTGGTTTCCGCCCTTCCGCGGACTCTTCCCCCAACCCACGAAAATGGGTTGGATTCGCGTGCTTGCGTGACTTCATCGCTCCTGTGTTTCAGAAACGAGTTGACTTCGCTTTCCAATCAGGCTGCGTGAAAGGGTGTGCATCGACAATACCCCCAAAAACGCAACTTAGTATGTAGACCGCAGCTTTAACACCAGTTGCACCTGGCTTCAGACCTTCAGTCTGCTTGTGTTGAATTCGCTACACTGTAGTTATCCTTTGACGCGCCTCAACAACCGCTCTCGCCAGCGAATCAGAGGTTGATTTCGAGTTCAGTAAACTACCATCACTGCTGCCATGCAGACTTACTTCTTTGACCGCGGTGAGTCACAAGGTGTTTCACGTTAACGACCTCGCCGAGTTGACGTGATTCACGACCCAGAATTGACTGTTGTCTGAACGTCCGACGCTTGGAAGCATGATGATATAAATGTGAGGATTGTTGTGGGTTTCTTCAACGTACATCGCTGTCGCCCCAACTTTCTTCAACGAATCTTATTGGTTTGAAAGCCAAATTTCGAGGCACCCTTATGCACAGCAAACTGCAGCAGAAATATGTTTTTTTCTATGCCTTCCAGTTTAGAAGTTCTACCTTTTCGCCCCTCGGCTATAATTCCCGCTTCCTGCTCTTCCGTCCCCCCCCTCGCGCAGGCGCAACCCTAAACCAGAGAAACGGCACAATCCACACTCCACTCCGCGAGATCACCTTGTATGAGCTGCACGTGGCGATGAAAGGAAGGCCGTTCACGCCTCAAGTGGCTCATAGCTTCAGGGCAAGTATATATAGTCATAATGATGGCTTCATGGCGAGTATATTTAAAGGCATACTGGCTATCATGATAAGATGAGTATCTAAAGGCTCTCAAGCCTGATGGCCAAAACGAGACACAAAACTCTACCCTCGCATTCATCCATTCTTTCATTTGCGTAGCTCAGCTAAAAATATGGATCCATCTTCCTCTTATCTGTTCCGTGTTTCCAGGCTGAGGTGAAAGCCATGCCAGAATTGAACCATCATCCCAACATCCTGAGGGTGGAAGGCGTGGCGATCGACACGGAGCAGAAGCCGGCTCTCGTTCTTGAGCCGACCCCAGGAGGCGACGTGAAGAATCTGCTCCAGCGTGGTTGGTTGGTGGCTTCTTCGTGGTGCCAAGAAGAGGATCTTGGGTGGAGGAGGACGGGGAGGGATCATCTTGTCATCTTGGGGGTGGGGATGGAGAGGGGGGATGTTCGGTTCTCGTGTATAAGATGATCCCACCCCGTCCTCCTCCACCCAATTATCTCGCCGATGTTCTTCCTCGCATAAATAATCTCGCTGGACAATGACCGAATTTGCTCTATTGACCCTGCGTAAGCGCTCTCCCACATCTCCTGCTGTCAGCATTTCTCCACTCCCATGTGATGCCTAATTTTGTTCGTCCTACCCTCTCTCGAACCCATTTCCTCTTTAGAAAATGACCCTAATTCCCCCCATCCCTCCCCCTCTCACTCCCCCTTCCCGCACTCTCTCCCTCGCCTTTCCCCCTCTAGTCCGTAGGAATGAAGCACGGTTTCCGTGGAGGGATCGCATGAAGGTTGCGCTGGGGTGTGCTGAGGCACTGGCTTTCATTCACGAAAAGGGGTTTATTCACCGCTATTTTCAGACGTCGAGGGTGTTTCTTCGAGAGGTACCGGTTCGCCGTGCGTGTGCGCGTTCTATCTGTTTGCTTTATGGTTATCTTGTGCTAACCTTGCATCGTGTTCGCTCCAGCTATATGCTACATCCAGTTTACCACCATATTGTGATGTCCACCACAACTCATTTGGATATGTTTGCTTTCCAATTCCCATGTTCCATTTCGTTCTGTCTGAAACGCGCAACTCGCAGAATCTCACTCCAGTGGTTGCCGGCATTGGTTTGACTCGTTTCGTTGGGGATTGGGAAAGTCATGACGAGTCAGCACAGACAGTGGTCTTCACGATGGGCTGCATTGACCGAGACTGTTTCCAGACAGGCAAAATATACCATAAAGTTGACATATATGCGTTCGGTGTGTTCCTTTTGGAGCTAATTTTCGGCTACTACCCGACGGACTCAAGGTATCAAGAGCTGAAGATTATGGTCAGCCCCAGAGATTTTGATAACCCTTCTTTGGTTACAGATCCGACTATGGAAGGGGAATGGGAAGTGGAGCATGTTCTTCGAATAATTGCTCTAGCTCGCTTTGCCCTTAACCCCAACCCAACAGAACGGCCGTCAATCAATGATATAGCTGCAAGCCTCCGAGGAATTTGGAGCAAAATGTAGGATGACGAGTAAATTATGGCATAGGATATGATAGGTTGCTGACTGAAGATGTTCCTGATGAGTTACTTCGTTATATCGCACAGAGTGTGTATATGTGTGTAAGCGTATGTATGTGGTCATTTTATGTTTTGCTATTTGGAGTGTTTCGCTTGGAAACCTTATTTCATCAGAGCCTGGCAATTAAAGGTATTTTTTATAGAACTGTCGAACACACAGCCTCCGTGAACCAGCACCACTGTGCGATCAATCTCAATGCGGCCATTATCATCGGTACTCGAATTTCGCCTGAGCGCGTTTGTAGGTGTAATTAGGCAAACAGCATCCCTAACAGTCTGTGCACAACAGACATTTAACGCACATACGTGATTGAGGGGGGGTGAAATGGGGAGCGGGATGGGGTGTCTTGATGGGGCGTCTTGACTGGGTGTTTTGATTGGGTATCTTGAGGGGTTTTTTTATGTATGTTGCGTTTGGGTTTGATTTTTTTTGCAGTTTTACTTTCCTTCTCCCTTTCCTTCTCCATTTCCTTTCTCTTTCATTTATGACTCTCTTTCACCTCCTCTTTCAGTCTAGGATCATGTGAAATTTGTCTAGGCGGCCACTCTAGCAGCAGCACCAGCTGATGCAACTCAGTTCAATACAGTGGCGCAGACTTGAACGAAACAAAACGAAACACCACGCTCCCAACATTTGTCACGTGCAGACCTGCTTCCTTAAAAATCTTAACTGTAAAAT